TAGGGTAAGTTTCTTATACTTAAAGCACAAACACCGGGATTAAAAATGCTTACAAATGACAAAAATGGGTCACTGTATCTTGTGTACTGCAGGCCATTCTGCTTTCTTGATGCTGAATGAATTAGGATAATCTTGGATTTCATTTTCCCCCAAGTATTGGCCATGGTTGAAACTGATAAGGAATATTTAACTCATTGTAGACTGGCTTTGCGAAGAACACCTTTTTACCCCCTTTTTTTTTGAATAGCATTTACAGACTTCCGGTCCTGCATCGGGAGTGTTGTGTATTTAATTTTATACTATGGTGAGCCCTAGCAGCCGTTACCTCCCTTGTACTGTGGGTGACTGTAAGAAAACACAAGAGCTCTTGAAGCAAAAGCCAAGACCATCACACTTGGATGTGTTGACTGGAAATCCAATTTGTACTCAAATCGCATTTTACCAGTGTCATTGCATTCATTATGTGATTCCCAAGGCTTTTCAATTCAGGATGTTCATAGCTAGGTCTTTCATATAACGTAAATAGAAAGTAATTTGAAAATATTTTGTAGTTATTGAATGGAGTTTCATGATAACTTTTTAATATTCTTTTTCTTTTATGCTCTTTTCCTTTAAGACTATATTATATTTTTTAAAATCTGGACAAACATAGCAAGGCTCATTTTTCTCTTGTCACACCTGAACATGCCTCAGAGGAAGAGATAACATAAAATCTATCTTGAGGAATCTTCTGCCTTTGAACTGTAACAATGAGCCAGTTGTGGGGGTATTATAACCAGTAATATCTGAACTGAGATTATTCTGTTTATCTGAGTGTGTCACTGAACAGCTGATGTATGGAACCCACTTTGGGACACTGTCACCACTTGTTACAGTCAAATAATGAGTGACCTAGAAAAAAAAAGTTATTCTGTTCTTAAAATCCCATCCTTGCTGTCCTTCTCAATGAATCATCTTTAAGCAGATCAAGTACTGTCTGCTGCAACTAAATGTTCCAGTTTTTATTATAACATGCAAAATTCAATCAATTCATACATTTCTGTACATCCCACTGTTCCACATCTCACCAGTCACAAGGAGTTTGTGTACTAAGCCCTTTAAACATTTAAATGCATTCTTCACCTTCAAATGACCTTTTGGCTCTGAACAATCTGAATCTGTGCCTCAGCAGTAAACCAGCAACCTTCCTGGCACTTAAGAGATGCAAATGAGTTGCATTTAAACAAATTAAGGTAGTTTTGGAACTATCACCTACCAGGATTCCACTGATTTTGTGAAAAGGTGAAACCAAAGAAATGAAACCTGTCCTTTCAGGTCAACATTTCTGTGGCCATGCTGCAGGAAGCACTATGGACCATGAGCCCTTGAACTCCATGAAAACCTGCCCCACCAAAACCAAATGCAAAATATGCACAGGTATAAATGGGGCATGTTGCCTCCAAGGGTAGCATGGGTACAGCCAGCTCTCAGTGGGCCAACCAGCTAGCTGGCCCACTGCCTATAAGCTTTAGCTTTAGGCACTCTTTAAGAGTTTATTTTAAAGATTTTATTCTAGGTAAAGGATATGACAGTCCTTGTGCTATTCTTTATAAATATTCATATTGCTAATTCCCTCACCTAATGTCAGAAGCATAAATCTGCCTTTCTTAATACATACAGTATACATATTTTTTTGCTTGGTAGTTTGCTAATATTATTTCCATCCCCTTCTTCTTCACCACTTTGTCTAATAATCATGTAAGAAGTTACACAATTCTAGCCTGCTAAATCTTGATGTAAATAAAGTCTTCATACATTCTGCTGCAAGTCTAAATGCAGATCCTGCAATTTTCTTCATACCTGAAATCCTTTCATTAAATTCCATAAAATTTTTCAGAAAGGCAAAGTTCACTTGTATTTTAGGATTTCTCTTAGTGAAAGCCATTCTGAATACAAATGAAAAAAACAACCCCGTTTCTTCTCTTTTTTTTAAACTTTTATTATCATAAAGATGTATGCAAAGACATGCAAACCAAAAACCTGTTAAAAGATTTTGTTCTCAAAAACCTTCTTTGGGTTTATCTTACCTATTAATAGTGCCTCTTTCTCTGATTTCAGCCCCGGGCTTCGTTTCTCCGAGTTTTTTTCTCTGTCTTGGTTGACCAGTGCTACTGTCAATACATTGATTTCCTATGAAGTTTAAAAAAAACAAACAGGTGGTCATGTAGGTTTCATTTACTTCAATTAAACCTGTCTGCTTCCTTTCAACTCTATAAAAAAATCATTACTTTAATTCACATCTAAGGACAAGACAATTATAAAAAATTGATTTGTTTGCAGAACATTAAGACACTTTTTGAAGTATCTTTATGCCAAGAGCTGCCAAGTAGAGAAATTTTGTTTGTGGAGTAACTGATAACTTTGTTGCTAGTGCTTCTTCACTATAACAGATTGAGAGATTGCACCATAAAATGTGGGGATGGTCAGAAAACTCACATCTTCTAGTTATTAAAGCTGTAAACAAAGACTGCCTCTAGGGAACATGGATGGAAACATTCAGCTACAGCCATAAGAGTAAATTCAGCAGTCACTGGCAATGTTTCCAGCTACTAGACCACAACCATCTACCCTGTTACACTCTTTGACCAGTGCCTGGCATGGCATTGGCCCCTGTCCCAAGCAACTCCCAGGCACATTTTGGGCGTCAGCATATTTCAGGGAGACCATTTCTAACAGGTGCTTTATATAAAGTTACCTTGTTTTAAGGACTGAAAGATCACCAGCCTTAAGGGCAAACAAGTCAAAGCTCCTGCTCTGAGCTCTTTTTTCTGCAACCAGGTGCCCTGTACCATCCAAATCTCAGCCAAGCAATCACATGCCAGATGCTCCATCAGAAGTACCCAGGCAGTTGTGTGACACACTGCTCTTATCCTGGGTATATGTGGAGTAAACAAATTATTGCTATTTCCGAGGCATGTAAGTGTCCTCAAAGGGTATTGCACAATATTCAAACATATGCATGGGCTGTTTCCATGGAGCAACTGATAGGCAATAAGTCGTTCCTCAGTGAGGCAGTGACTCACACTGCTGCATCTGCTCTGCCAAGTGCTCAGCATGGGGTTGGAGGTGTGATGGCATGAGGTGGGACTGTGAAGGAGTGGTGCTCCTGTTCTGTGGCCCATTTACAACATGCCCTAGGGATGGTGCCTTGCTCCAAAATTCTTGGCAAGCATTTTTGGCAATAAAAGAGGGACACTGTCCTTGGGTCACTCTAATGCATTTCTGGAGGTGTGAATAAACCATGCTAAAAAAGACAAAAACTCCAAAATATGTCAAATGTGCCTTTTTATAGAAGACTAAAGGCTTCACAATCTGTGAGATTGGTAAAAGGTGTCTTTATTCTCAATTGAAAAAGAAAACAAAGCAACAAACAACACCACACAACCCCCCCACAGTGATGTAGTCTGTGCTCTTCATAGGCTGACTCCAAGGAGCAGCTGCTAGACAGGCAGAGCCTGATGGCTCAGACACATCATGGTTTCAAATGTTCCTTCGTGTTGTGTAGAGGCACAAGTTGCCATGTGTCAGCTGAGAAACTCTATGTGCATATGAGTGACATACATGCATATCCTCAGCGCCCAGCAACAAGGGACCTGACCTTAGCCCACAGTGAAGGAGGAGTGAGATCCATTGAGTTGTCTGGGGTTTGTTGCAGTTGTAGTGGCCAACTGAGGCATGTGTCCTGGCCAGAGACCTATGTGTAGCTTCGTACATATAAGCTAGTCAGCCTTTGCTGCCTTTTTAGTTAGTAGAAATGAAATGACTTTTTAGTTGTGTATTTTAGTTTAGGGAGTCTGCAGTTCAAGCATTGGCAGTGATCCTCTCTTAAAATAATGGTGTTTCTGAGTGCTCTAACAGCTACATCACCTTGGCACTAACACTCCTGTAGAGTTCTAACACACAGGGCACATTATAGCAGCAGCAGCATGCTCTCTGAGTTGTCCAGTGCTGTTGATTCCCCTCCTGATAGAGCCAAAGGCTAATGCAAATATTCATCAACTGATGGCCATGACATCCAAGAAAAGTGAAAAAACCCAGGCAAGAAAAAGAAATGAGAGAAGTGTTTACATGAATTTCTCCATCAGGGCAGTAATGACAAGGAGGTTAGAGATCAGAAGGATAGAGCTGGATGACAGAATTCATGATAGTGCGGCAGAAGAGCAGAGCAGTATGTGCCACCAGAGCTTGTATAGGTTACGATGTAACTTTGACTCCATCAGAGATAGAAAAGCAGCCTAAAAATAGCAATTCCTGAGAGGGGAAGGAGAGAGCAGAGAGATGTGTATTTGATATAACAGGCCCCAAAAACAGCACACTAGCAGTTTCAGGTGGGATTAGTTTTTTCAAGCAGTGATGCAGAGAAAGAAACTATAATCCCATTGGGAGCAACGAGCAGATGGATTCTCATTGAATGCCTAGATTTGAGCCTGTGCAGAACATTTTGTATGATTTATAGGACACTGTAAATGGATGCTAAAGGAAGTCACATCAAGTCTTCCTTGACTGTATGTTGATACAGAGGATAAAAGAGTAAAAAACTGTTTATAGAGGAGCCTGAGGAAACCAGTGGCAAAGATAGATACTCAGAAAACCACCAGCTTTAGAAGAAGGTTGCAGGTTCTTGGAGGTTCAAAAAGGAGATTCTGCCACCCAAAACTGCCCGCCTCACAGATGATAAATCAGATCACTCTATGTATTCAGCTACCAAAGGAAGTTTGCACAGGCCATGAGAAAATCCAGGGTGTGCACAGTAGCAATGCTGCTAGGAATTAACAATGATTGTGTCTAAAATATAAATGTGACATTCACCCAGAAACTAGGCTAATTTTAGTGTGAAAACCTTAAGAATCTGACTACACACTGCAGATACAGATCTGCTACCTATGAAGCCTCTACAACAAATCCTCATGCAGTTAATTTGTGCTTTTTTAGAGGCACTACTTATGTAAGCCCACAGAAACAAGACTTTTAAAAGTACAAAGGTGAATGAGGCAAGACATAATTTCAAAAACCAGTTGGGTCACCTCTCTGACAGGAGGAAAAGCTACTGATCACCAGATGCCTGAGGAAAAATTATTTAATATATACTACATTACATTATTTCCTTTCTTTCCTGGAGACCATCCTTTATTTGGCAAATTATATTTTCTGAGGCCCTAAGCAGTCTCCTTCAGCCAGTTTCATTATAAAAGGAATATTTTGCTACCATCTGTCAGTTACTGCATTAAAGGACAAGAACAGAGCTGAGCATGTGCAAACCAGTACTTATTAAAAATGAAGTGACCTTGCAAGAACTAAGTACAGTATGTGGAAGGTTTAATCCAGGTTAAATCACACCTGGAGATCATTAGGAACCTGGCCATATTTATTATTCACAAATTTTGTCAAGTATCAGAGAAAATGGAGGACTGATTTGACGATGACAGTCCCAGGGCTGCTCAGTATGAATGCAGCCAATGCAACCATTCTTAGTGATGTTCTCACCATAGCCAGCTTGGAGCTTTTTCTTGCAAATGGCACTTTCATCCATGAGCAGATTTTCCTCATGAGATTGACAAATGCTATGATTCTGCAGACATCCCTTGAGACCAGCATTTTGATTCAGGGTGCCCTGCTTTTGAACCAGGGAGGAAGAGACAGAGAATATGCCTGGAAAACTTGCAGGAGAACTTGCTGGATAAAACAGAGGACATCAAATAACAATTTTCTCATGTGGACTATTCATTTCCAGAGGCAGATCTCTGACACCACCATTGACACAGACAATGACACAGACAGTGATCTCTGACACCACCATTGACACAGACCTGACAGCTGTGGAGAGTCATACATGGCAGTTTCACACATGGACATATAATGCCTGGCCATAAGATGGGACAGAGGTTTGCTTTGCAGCATTCTCACATGTATCCTAGCTTGTTTTGGAACCAAATGCAGAGGTATGGGCAAGTGAATTTCTCCAACAGTGCCTGGTCTCACTGTCCAGCACAGCTCACCACAGAGTAGCTGTGTTCCATGCTGTAGGCACAGCAAATAAGAGAGTGACTCCTGAGTGAAATGCACTTGCCAGAGAGAGACACAGATGACCTGAAGAGTAGAAGAGATATGGTGACTTTCTACAGAAGACAGTCACAAATCCTGTAAGAACAAAAGGCTAGCCCTGCTCTCCAGGGGGCTAGCAGTTCAGAAAGCCCCAGACATTTCGGCTGGATGACTTGGATCTTTCGCTCCTTCATTGGTTTCTTTTTCCCACCTCTGGGAAAGTATGATATTAAATAAAAAATTCTCAATCCAGATATCATTCATCCTCTACTGGTCAGTTTTGCACCGGCGCAAAAAAAGGCAGCCAGAACATAAAATATTTGCTCTCGCCTGGGGCTTCTCTCTTTAGCAAAAAGTTTCTCTTTAGCCTAAAATATTCTGTGATCCTGAAAACATATGCTAGTCAGCATCCTTAAAAATGGGGGGAGTGAGGACTTGTCATTCCCCACAAACACCAAGAAAGAGCTGAACAAGGCTTGCACAGTAACTGCCCTACCTGGAAACTCCTCCTGCCAGAATGCAGCTCCACATCACCCATTGTTCAGGACTCTGCTTGAAAGGCAGAATATGGGATTTAATGAATGTGACATTGAAAGCACCTGGCATGTGATCAGGATGCAATGACAAATATCCAAAGAGCAAAAATATTCCTTGCACTTTCTGGGTAATCCAAATATTTGATAATTATCTTTAAATCTAGGGGAAATGATGACTGCTTGCATATTGTCTTCAAAGACCTCATTCTCATTGTTGTAGTATATGGGATTCTGCAGAATTGTGTGGAGAGGGGCTAAAAATAATACTGTGTCTTTTGAAAGATCCAGTAAAAACCCCCATAAACCTACCAGCCTCTGGAGGAGTTTGCAGGATATGTTGTTATTTTTACTATATGTACAAAGCCAATTGTCTGAGGCATTAAAACAGCAGCAGAATATACAAAAACTAGATGTTTGTCACAGCAGGCAATGACAGAGCAACTGCTGAATGTTGTTAGATGTAAGGGATACGCCACACTTTCTCATCAGCCAGGGGATTTATGAGAGAAAATGAGTAGGAGGAGAAAAAACTATATATATGAAACATAAGCA